TGTTGTGAAATGGTTATTAATGAACATATTGGCCATAAAACTATAATAATATTATAATGATACTACCTGGGGGAGGTTGGTCACTGGTCGTAGCCTCACCTCTAACTGCGACCACCAACAACGTGCACCTGGACCCTTCCCCCCGTTATCTTTCATCATTTAGCTTAACCCAACCCAACCTAACCTAACATGACCTAAAATAATGAATATAGACAGAGAAAGTTATGACAGTGGGTGGTAACACAGTATTGTAAGTAGTGAGGCAGCGACCAGCGTCCCAGCCATCCACCACCAAGTCATTGTTCAGTGCACCAATATTATTTATTATGGCTTATATACTTAGCAACAATTTCCACTACAGACAAATACGTTCCCTGCATGATCACATCAATTTCGGACGATTCTGATCAAGAAATAACGAACTGGCACCAGGTAATTTTATCACTAATAACCTAATAACAAACAGATAACCTACAAGCTCAATGACTATTTTGACTGGCAGCAACCTCAGCTCACATACTGAAGGGTCCACTATTGACTTCAAGCACACAGGAAACACTGGGCATGTTACGTTAAACCTGCTGCCCATGTTCACCTAGCGGTAAGTAGATATCTAGGTGTAAGCTAATTGTTGTGGGTCACATCCTGGGAACAAAATTAACCTAAATTGTCAAAAATGCTTTGCATAACCAGGGGCTTTCTATAAAGTATGCCAATGATATCAGCTAGGTCTATAATACAGGGGACCCCCGACGTACGATGTCCCCAACCTACGTTAAAACCAACCTATGATGCGTTTCAGCGTAAAAATTTGACCCCGGCGTATGTTGAAAAACTCGACCTACAGCATTCGTCTGGTACCTGTCCACATGTCTGTCTGCCTGAGAGCGCCTCAGCTGGCCTGCCTTCAGTTAGTGTGCCAATGTTTACAAGCCAGAGCAGTCGCTCCCCAGCATACATTCAGAATATTTTGTATTATTCCATTTTTTTAGTGCTTCTAACTGCTAAATAAGCCACCATGAGCCCAAAGAAAGCTTCTAGTGCCAACCCTGTGGTAAAAAGGGTGAGAAATACAGTGGACCCCCGGTTAACGATATTTTTTCACTCCAGAAGTATGTTCAGGTGCCAGTACTGACCGAATTTGTTCCCATAAGGAATATTGTGAAGTAGATTAGTCCATTTCAGACCCCCAAACATACACGTACAAACGCACTTACATAAATACACTTACATAATTGGTCACATTCGGAGGTGATTGTTATGCGGGGGTCCACTGTACTATCGAAATACTATCATACCACGGTCAGCTGCTGCTGCTGCTGTTGCACCGTCAGCTGCTGCTGCTATTGCACCGTCATCTGCTGCTGCTGTTGCACCGTCAGCTGCTGCTGCTGTTGCACCGTCAGCTGCTGCTGCTGTTGCACCGTCAGCTGCTGCTGCTGTTGCACCGTCAGCTGCTGCTGCTGTTGCACCATCAGCTGCTGCTGCTGTTGCACCGTCAGCTGCTGCTGCTGTTGCACCGTCAGCTGCTGCTGCTGTTGCACCGTCAGATGCTCCTGCACCGTCAGCTGCTGCTGCTGTTGCACCGTCAGCTGCTGCTGCTGTTGCACCGCCAGCTGCTGCTGCTGCTGTAGCACCATCAGCTGCTGCTGCTGCTGCTACTGTAGCACCGTCAGCTGCTGCTGCTGTTGTAGCACCGTCAGCTGCTGCTGCAGCACCGTTAGCTGCTGCTGCTGCTGTAGCACTGTCAGCTGCTGCTGCACCATCAGCTGCAGCTGCACCGTCAGCTGCTGCTGCTGTAGCACCGTCAGCTGCTGCTGCACCATGGTCAGCAGCTGCTGCTGCTGCTGCTGTAGCACTGTTGTTGGTGTGGCTTATCAAGAATACTGAGAAACAATTAACCCCAGAGGGTTAGCTACCCAGGATAACCCAAGAAAGTCAGTGCATCATCGAGGACTGTCTAACTTATTTCCATTGGGGTCCTTAATCTTGTCTCCCAGGATGCGACCCACACCAGTCGACTAACAACCAGGTGAACAGGAAAAATGCCTGGAACTTGTGCTCATATTGGTGAATTTAAGGCCAGCAGAGGTTGGTTTGAGAGATTTAAGAATCGTAGTGGCATACACAGTGTGATAAGGCCAGTTCTGGAAGAAAATGCTAAACAGGACCTACATTACTCAAGACGAAAAAGCACTCCCAGGACACAGTGTCTCATCACTACATCTTCAGTGTCTCATCACTATATTCTTCATTTAGTAGAGTAGTACATGCACAATGTATATTGTGTAAGTACTACTCTACTATTGTGTATGTGCAATTCGACTATTGTGCATGTATCCTTCTTTTTGTGTGTAGGAAAATGTACATCTCATGTGGTAAAAAAAAAAAATTCATAGTTTTGGGTGTTTTGCACGGATTAATTTGACTTCCATTATTTCTTATGGGGAAAATTAATTCAACCTTCAATCATTTCGTCTTACAATGGGCTCTCAGGAACAGATTAATATCGTAAGTCGGGGGTCTACTGTAACTGTAGCACTGTACTTGTAGAAATAAAGATTATTTATATTTTATAATTAATATTCAAATTGATATTTTATAATTAATATTCAATTGATATTTTTATAATTATATCAAATTGTTATTTTAAATTTAATATTCAAATGATATTTTTATAATTATATTCAAATTTATATTTTATATATTTATTATATTATAATCAAAAAAGAAGCGCTAGCCACAAGGGCTATACAGCAATGCAGGGGGAACGAAGCCGGAGGGCCTCAGGTGGCATAAGGGAGAGTAGAATGAGTAATAGGTTAGGATAACAGTGGAGCAGTGGATGGTTGAAAGGGTAAAGGCAGCAGGAGAATGAGCTAGAAGGGTGAGGGGAAGGAGTGCGTTAAGGTATCATCAGAGTTTGTGGAGTAAACAGTGTTGTCAGAAGTCAATGAGAGAGTCTGGATTAAAGGTGGGTCCATCACGCATGAATGGGAAGGTTGAGAGAGAGTAGTAGAACGAAGACCGGCGTTGGTGGTACATTCTGCGTGCCTCGTTGATAGAAGAGGCAGTCTAACATTATGTGGCCTAATCGATACTGGAACTTGACAGCTGCTCACAGAAGGTACAGGGTGCCTCTCCATGAGATACCGTGAGTAAGACAGAGTGTGGTCAATGCGAAGATGGGAGTAGTGGTTCCCACCATGGCACTGATGACAAGAGACGGCAGTATACCTAATGCTCGGTTTAATAGAATGAAGTTTGTACAAGCAGAGTTGAACAACGTTGATTGCTAAGGGGAGCGAAGAGTGGCAGCTTTTGTAGCAAATAGTCCAGGAAAATGGAACACTCTATAGGAAATGGTTAGGTCATGTTATGCTGGGACCGCGCGCAGTGTCTGCCTGTTCATATGCCTGTACGTAAACATGACACAGGGAACCAACAAAAAATAATATCTTTTGCTTGAGAGATACGGCGTAGCCAAAGTTGGACACAGTGAACTAGGGGGTGGTAGATGTATCAAATTTTCGTATAGCCTGTAGAAGGCAGAAGGGAGTCTGAGACTCCACAAATGATGACACTGCATAGATGCGATACGAATAAGTGCCTGCAAGAATGGCATTCAGTTCAGCAGTAAAAATGCTTAGCCCCGCCCGCTTGTAATGACCCGCACGACGCTGTCCTGGGGAAAACAACTGCTGCGGAATCCGAGCAGCTCTGAAGACTTAGGAGTAGAGGACCATCTGTTTGTACACAGCAGGAGGTGGCATGTGAATGGGTAGTGGAAGTGATGCAAGAAAAAGAGAGCGGGAAGCACGGTAGGCAGTTGAGCTTTCGGGCAAGGGAGTTGATGAAAGAACAGACCGAACAGCTGGAACTTCTGCATAGTGGCTCTAACGGTGGGAAGAGCGAAATAAAAAGCACATGGCACAAACGTAATCCTTCGGTGATGGATAGAGTTAAGGCTAGAGAGAGTAGAGGAGAGGCCGCGGAATTAATTGGACACCTTAATCGAGTTTTCGATAAAACGAGGGTGAATGTAGGCGAAGCAGAGTTCGGACAGATCAGCTCCCCAGAAAGATGTGCAAGGTTTTAAGAAGGTGTAGCCGGTCTGTAACAAGTTGCCTTCAGAGAGGTAATGTGAGGTTTCCTGATAACTCGGTCAAAGGAGAAGGCCTAGAACCTGACTGTATTCACGTTCGGGGATACGGGTGCCATGCCATAGAGATACTAAGAGATGATCGAATATAACAGGAGATCTAGTGAAAGTAATTGGTGAGTTTTGGTACTATG